CCTCTCCTGCTCGTGGAAACATCTTCTCCACATCCATTCTATTCAGGCCTTTCATTAATCTGTAAGTTTCAATCAGAAGCTGCATTACAGGGATTCTATGATTCTATGTCCATCTCAACTCCAGCGAGCACAGGCCCAGTGAGGAGTGATGAAGGGGGTAGCTCCCAGTCAGTCGGTTGTTTAAATATCCCACACAGGAGCAGGAGTAGGCCATTATGCCCCTCAGAGCTGCTGTGTTCTTCAATGTAATCATGGCTGATCTATTGGTGCCCTCGACACTCCCACTAACTCTTGATAACTATTGTCTTGCTTGTTAGTGAACAATCTATCAACCTCTGCCTTAAAAATACTCAGTGACCCAGTCTGCACTGTCCTCTGGAGACGAGAGTTCCACAGACTCATACTGTCTGCAGGGAAAAAGTCCTATCCTACAGATTAAATGGGACATCCCTTATTTTTAAACAGTGTTCCCTCATTCCTGTCTCTCTCTCTCATAAGGAGAAGCACTTGTCAGTATCTGCACTGCCAGCACCTCTCACAACTTTTACTCGTTTCAATATGAACTCCAGTGCAAACAGGCACAGTCTGTTCACAAACCAACCCCCATCCCCAGCCCTACCAACAAAATCAAATCCATACTGACCCAGCTACCACTGGGTTCACTCAGAGAAGGGGCAGAAAAATAAAGGGGCTTTGGGGTGATGGGGGTGTGGGTTGACATTTGCGATCTTCCAATCAGCAGGATCATTCTAGAATCTGTAGAGTTTTGGAGGATGACAGCCAACGAGTGGCCAATATATTGTTGCTGTGGAGCTCAGGAGCATGGATGCTGCCTGGTTTCAATAGTGGAGATGTCACTGGGAGGGAGACAGTGTCGGTGAATCTTGAGAATTCAGACAAACACTATCTGTCTTTGCAGCTGCAGAAAGTTGCCAAATACCTGGACCCACAGAACCTGGGGCGGATCAGCTTCCAGGAATTCTGTCAGGGAATCTTCGCCATCAAAGGTAAGGACAGCTCCTGGGTTGGGGGTGGGAGGGGGGTGGGTGTTCCACAGGGAACACATTCTGAGGGAATGGAAGGAAGTGACACGAGGCTGTGGGTCTCAAGAAAACGACCGAGAACAGGAAGAGAGTGAGCTACAGCAGCCGTACCCCAGTGAGAGTCAGTGTGTGTGAATGGGATTGTACCCCAGTGAGAGTCAGTGTGTGTGTGCGGGACTGTACCCCAGTGAGAGTCAGTGTGTGTGTTACCGTACCCCAG